TTTTATTCTGAGTACATAGCCCAGATGTCGAGTCTTTGGATGAAGTGCAACCTCTGTCGGAACTGCAACATTCCTGGGAGTAGTGTGTCGAAGTTATACAGATACTCCGACCTTCATAAATCATGCAGTTATTTAGAGCGGTCCGTGATTCGAAAACTTTAGACTGCGGGTAGACGCCAGTCTATAAGGATAATTCAGCTGTTAATTACGATCATTCGTTACCTTCACATAAAAGTTTAATTCCCAAGTAAGTAAAAACATAAAAAGGCTGACTTGCTGAGGGTATCTTCATGCAGTGCCTATTCGTAACAGATTAGGAAGAGACATTTACGTAATGGCTCAACTTTTTCTTTTCGCCCCGAAATGTTACAATTTCTTCATTAAGCTAGATTCAAAGACAGTAAAATGTATCTTGAATATTGTCGGTTATGGATCGTATCAAAATTGGAAACATATTTATGAAAAAAGAAGTCTCAAAAATCTATCTTGTTTTTTCTCGATGTAAAGATATACACTACTGTGATCGCAATACAATGTCATGAAGATGAATTTGATGAGAAGGAACCCACGTTTTAGAAAACGTATGAAGACGGCTCGAATGGGTGGTGAAAGAAACTTTATTACAAATGTAGAACGTTTTGACAAGCTTTTGTTCTTTGCAGCATCAAAATACAAATAAGCAATATACCAAGCTGGAAAAAATTTGTCAATAATAAAAACTCTTTCTGTGATGCTTTCTGGTAGAAATCACAATTAGGACATAATGAGTTTGTGATAATTTCTCGCTATTGTTCTTTCTATCTCCATTAATGTTGCACAGTTCTGTGCTACTGGTGATGTTCCACTGTGTCCTTTCAATTAACATCCCACAAAACATGCTTCAATTGCCTCATAAAAGTACCATATCTAAGGCTTTTAAAGGAAACAACAGATGCAAAATCTCCTTGAATTCAACCATATTGCAGGAATTAAATCCAGTAACCACTACACACAAGCAATCACTTTACACGTTTGCAGGTGGATAATATGTAAATAATGTAATTCTATATATATATTTATATATATAAACTGATAAGAATGAAAAGTATGACTTCCAATGTTACACCTACAATATGCATACACATCATCTCTTTGTGCAGCCAATGATAGTTGATCTAGGTTACTATCTTGCTGATAGAATAAACCACGAGACCATTATACCAAACATGATGCCACAAAATACAGAGTATGTCAGTTATAAGTTGGTAATATCTTCATAATAGAAGAAGGATTTTTGGACTGTTATCACCGCTTGAATGTTAGTTTTCTTTCCCATGGTGATTGTACATGATCCACTGGATATCTATATCCTTTCAATGCTGAACGTTTGGACTGGAGTTCTAACCGAAGAGGCATTCATTCTACTTATAGATGAAAAGGTCATATATAGAGATGTTTGTTGATGTGTGAATATGTTTATTTAAGTTGGTAAACTCTCAACATGATGCTGTGTAGGAAGTCTAGTTAGATGTGGAACATCTAGAATGGGATGTCTAGAGGAAGTGTCTTGAAGCCAGCTTGCCTTCCTCTGCAGGTCATTGTTTGTGGTAGATAGTGCCAGTATCTTATCATTACGCTCGTCATTACCCTCTTAGTGGTGTATTAAATTCTAACCGCATTCAGAGAGTGTTGCCAAGTTCAGAATATTCCATACATAGTTACCAATCCAGTGGAGTCATGAATTTGACATACCCTGTCCTAGTGCTTTCTGTTTCTTCAACAAATCATTTGCAAACTTCACAACTTTTCGAGTAGCCAGAAGTGATTCACTTTATGTGTGAAGTAGTGTTTCTGCCCTTTGGGAGCTTACTAGCTTAAATTGACACGTTTACACATCAATAAACATATC